ATACAAAATATGTAGGAAACAAGTAACAAAAATAACACCACCACTTTCTTCTTGACATAGTATGAAGCATAATTATATTACATACATTTCAAGGATGCAAAAACAAAAGGATTCAATTACATAACTCAGTCCATATCACTTTCATTATCAATATATATCAATTCCTAATATTCCTCGTCATTTTCAAAAGATTGCAATTCATCATCTTCCTCGTCATCACAATAGTCAATCAATGTATCATCTTCATAGCTACTCTCATTATCAGTGGTGTGGACCGAGTCGAGTGCTCAAAAAGTGATTAGTGAAGTGGCCACCACATTTAAAAATTTATAAAAATCACTTAACACTTATACTATATAGCATGAAATGAGAAGGGATCATCCCAAGAGACCACAAGTGTATTCGGAATTAAATTCAGATTAGTAGGTCAAATAATCAAAAGAGTGGTTTGGTTTGGTTTATACTACAATTAAACTATGGAATATGCAAAAGAAACAAGCTAAAGTAAATAGAGTGAGAGAATAGGAGAGTGGTCTTAGGACATAAGAATCACCACTAAGCTCTTCCTCTAAACAACTAGTCTTTGACAATTTGGGGGAAATTTAATGTTATAAACCATGTGTGTGCTACCAATTGAAACAATAAGCATGGATGACAAAACAAATGTGAATTGTCTATTTAAGCTAGGGTGTAGCACAACTCATAAAGTTAAGACACTAAGCATTCAATAAACCCACAATTATAGCACACAACAATCTAGAGAAATGTACATCTTGCAACAATAAGTATGGACCATCAAACTACAAGCATGGATTGTTTACCTATCTAGGAATTTAAAGGCAATTACACTAATGATAAGGAAATTAAACTAATTAAACTAAGGGTGTAGAACAATCCATAAAGCATGAGCATAACCCATCAAATTAATCACAAGTGTATACAATAAGTATTATGCATGACCATCACTAGATTCACAATTCAACCACACATAGATAGGCATCAAATTTATAGAATCTAATGTAAAGACATAACCATCCATTTCATCACACATAGATATGTAAATAAATTGGAAGAATTAATTCATACAAACACAAGATTTATTTAATCACAAGGTCAATACATTATTTACAACAAAAATCCCCAAATATGTCTAAGAACTAAAGTTTAGAGTGCAAGCCGAGGGCTTCTCCTAGCCCAAAAAGATGATCTAACCACTTATAGATATGGTCTTGCAACCCTCAAAGGCTATCTTCATGGTTGAATTCATATCATTCTTCTTGGTCTTTTTGGTAAAAACCCTAGAGAGAGAGAAATAGTTTCCCAAAGTGTGTTTAATCTCCTCTAATCTCTTGCCAAAGGTGTCCAATAAACCAACCTCCTTACCAAAAATGGTTAGTTTTCTTATATAAATAGCTCAAATGACACCCCCAAATAGTCAGACCTTGTGTACTAGGACCTCCAAATGATTGCACCATGAACACACCTTCAATTGGGTTTGAATTATGTTCTGCATGATTTTTGAGGCAGTTCGATTGATCACAATGTTGCTTCAATCGATTGAAGTATGGTAGCGTATTTATTTGGATAAGGACAAATCTAAGATATTTATGAGGAAAAGGACAAAAATGGTTATGAGGATAAGATCAAAAGGTCGGATCGATCGAAGAAAGGTTAGATCGATCGAAGAGGAAATTTTTCTTAGGATAAGGACAAAAGCTCGATTCATCATGGCAGGTTTGGAACGATCACAGTGTGATCGATCACAGCAAGGTTCGATCGATCAAACAGAGACAATTTTCATCTTTTTGCTTTCACTTTGCTCCATCTTTCCACTTAACTTTGGATTGCCTTCTCCAACACTCTAATTCAGTTAATTTAGCTCATTTTGGGATTAAGCACCTAAAAAGGGAAAAAATGAAAAATAAGACTAAATTGGAAAAATAAGATAGAATAATGTCCTAATATACTCAAGATCAAGGGTTTAAATGCGCACTTTTTAGTGCTTATCAATCTGTAATGAAATCATCATTTATTTAGTCAAAAATTGTATTGTTTGGCAAAACATTAGGTAAGTCAACATCTTCCCTATGCAACGGGTCCAAATCTAGATCATTATATTGAACAATTGTGTCAATGTCTCCTGTATCTTTAAATTCATATGAATCATCATCTACATCTTTATCTTCATCGACTGATGAAATCTTTTCAACTTCATACAAATTCCTAGGCATGACCTTTTGCACAACATGCCAGTTATTGCCGAACTTAGGGTTTGATAAGCGCTGAAAAATGCGTATTTAAACCCCTTAAACGTGAATGTTCTGGACCTTATTCTATCTTATTTTTCTGTTTTAGTCTAATTTAATGTTATTTTTCTTTTCAGGCACCTATCCCCAAAATAAGTCAATTCCGTTGAATTAGAGCATTAAAAGAAGTAATCTCAAGCTTAGTGGAAGAAAGGAGCAAAGTGGTGAACAAGCCTTCTATGATCAATTGAACCTAAAGCTCCGATCGATCACACTGTGATCGATCTAACCATGCTATAATGGATCGAGCCTTTTTCCTTATCCTCAGGAAAATATCTTGTTCAATCGATCCAACCTTTTATTTGAACGATCGAACTCTTTTAATCTTATCCCCACCTACCACTTTTGTCCTTTTCGCAAAAATATCTCATCCTTGTCATTATCCAAAAAATGTGCCGCAAAGGTTCGATTGATTCCAGCAACCTTGTGATCGATCGAACTGCCTCAAGTTGCATGAAAAATAGAGTTCCAGCCAAATTAAATGTGTGCTCGTGGTGCAATCATTTGGAAGTCCTAGTGCACAAGGTCTGATCATTGGGTGTGACACTTGAGCTACTTATATAAGGATTTTGGCTATTTTTGAGTAAAAGGTTGGTTATTTAAGAAAGTTCTTCCATTCATCTAGGGTTTCTACCAAGAACATAGGAGGAGGAAGATGAACTCTACCATGGAGATAGCCCTTGAGGGTTGGATGACAACATCAATGAGTGGCTAAACCATTCTCTTGGGGCTAGAGATAGCCCTAAGCATGCCTCCTAGACTTTGATGTTTTATAATTAATGTGGATTTGTGTTGTATTTCTTATCTTGACAATTTATGTATATAAATCTTATTTCTGCAATGATTTGTGTAGTTTAATACTTCCAATTGATCATTTAATTCTATTCATATACCTATGTATGCTAGAATGGATGTTCATATGTTTATCTCTAGATTTTGTGACATTGATGCATGTTTATGTTTGTTGATATTATGAATCTAGTGATGGTCAAGGTATGGTGCTTAAATGGAATACTCTTGTAGTTTATTTGATGGTTCATACTTATTTCTTGATCGATTGTGCCACCTCCTTAGCTTAATTAGTTTAATTTTCATGTCACTAGCTTAGCTGAAGTGTAATTGCCTTACTTTCTTAGATAGGTGGACAATCCATTCTTTTTGTTTGATGTTCTATGCTTATGAATGCAAGTAGTATATTTCTCTAATTTGTTGAGTGTGCATTGATTGTGGGCTTATGGAATGATTAATGGCTTAATTTATTATGTTGTGTTATTCACTAGATTGGCTAGACAATGTATGCTTACTTGGCCATCCATGCTAATATTCCAATCAATGGCACACACTTTCATTTACAACAGATATTCCCCCTAATCCATCAAATATTGAATGTCTAGGAAGGTAATACTAAGTGGTGAACTCTATGACCCAAGACTCCTTTCTCATATTCTCTACACCCTACTTGCTTTAGTTGTTTTACATTGCATTTGTTTAGTTTAAATTGTAGTTTAATTCAACCACAAACCATCTTTTGATCAGTTGACCTACTAATCCAACAAATTGATTCCAAAACACCATTCATATCCCTTGGGACATTCCCTACTCACTCTAGCTACATTAATAGTTAGTAGTAGTAATGGCATTCTATAAATTCAAACTTGGCCATATTTTATCACACTTTTTAGTGCAATTTGGGGTGTACATGATGACAAACATACCAAGTTTTGGCGCCGTTGCCGGACATTTTGCAATGCCGTATTTTGAAAACAATTAGGAATTAGCACTCTTTCGATCGTGTCTTTATTTTATTTTATTTTGATTACTTATTGTGTTTGTTCTTGATTGACTAGGTGCATTAAGCCAAGAGAAGTGAAACAAAAGGAAATTCTAAAGCAAGGAGCAAGCTAAGCAAATCAAAAGCATAAAAAGCTAAAAATTAAAAATTTTTGCAAAGCAAAAAAAAGAAAAAAAAAATTTGGAAAATGATTTGAAGTTGCTTAAGGACCCTTCGTGAGCTTTTCTAATCCTAAAGGACCCTTGGTTGTTCGTAATCCTAAAGGAAGGGGTAAGTCTAGTAACTTCATTTCATTAATGGAGGAGCAAAATGAAGACTATGTGGAGGTCCTTGGTCACATTGACCAATAAGGCATTCTTCACCCCAATGTGAATTAACATCATGACAACATTCAAGTACCATTAAGCATGCCAAGACATTTCATTCCACAATAACAAGGCCAAGTTTCATTGGGAATGCCTCGGCCAATTTTTGCTCCACCCTCACCTCCCGTTGTTTAAGCAAATCATGGTGCTCGTGTAAAGCCACCAATTGTGAATCCTCCTTTTACTTTAAGAAATCGTTATGTGCCAAATGAGTATAATGCACCAGTGTGCATTTAATTACCTCCATTTAGAGCACACCATTATGAGATTAAACTACAAAAAATTCAAATGCTTCCCAATTACCATGGGCTATCAAGTGAAGAACCTTACAAGCATTTGGATGAGTTTCTTGAAGTGTGTTCCACTGTGAAATACACGGACATACCGAAAGAGGTTTTGGGACTTAAACTCTTTCCTTTCACCCTTAAAGATAAAGCAAAATACTGGTTTAATAATTTGAGGCCTTTTTCGATAATTTCTTGGGCAGAGATGCAACAAAAGTTCTTGAAAAAGTACTATTCGGTATCAAAGATCAATTCAATAAGAACTTTAATTGCAGAATTCTCACAAAAGGATAGGGAATTGTTTTATGAGGTGTGGGAGCGATTGAATGACTTGCTTAGGAAGTGTCCCCATCATGACATTCCTAAATAGCAATTGGTTCATTTTTTCTTTGAAAGTTTGTCGGATAATTTTAAAGGAATGGTTGATGCTTCTATGGGTGGTTCTTATCTTGATAAGCATGAAGATGATGTATGGCACTTATATGAGAGCATGAGTGAGAATTCAATGCATCGATCTTTATCTTCTAAAAATGGTAGAAATCTAGGTGTACAAAAGAATGTCGGCTTGTATCAAGTTGACCATTCTAATGATATAGCCACCGAAGTGAAGTCTTTATCCCGAAGGTTTGATCAATTTTTTATCAACTAAAATTCGGTGAATCAAGTGTCTTCCTCCCTTAGTCATACTCATCATACTTCCAATGAACCTTGTATGAATTGTCCTAGTGTTGTACATTATACTTCCAATTGTTCCCATGGACATGTGCAAAATGAACACAATGAACAAGTACATGCCGCATTTTTCAACCAAGGGAATAATCCCTATGGCACTCACTATAATGCCGGGTGGAGGAACTATCCAAAATTTTCTTGGAAAAGCCAAGGGGAAGGCTTAAACCCTCCCAAAAGTGGTTTTCAAGGCAAGTATATTCCACCCCCAATGCAAGGCCAAGGTTCCCATGGTTATCGTTCATCCTACCAAGCACAAAATGGGAACCAATTTTCTAACTCTCATTTTCCAAACCAATCTTCATATTCTCAAGGGAATTCAAGGAGTCTCACATTTGAGGAGAAAGTCTTAACCGCTTTGGGTACTTTGAAGGCAAATACCTAATTACTTCACTCTCATTCCCAATCAATTACAAAGCTAGAAACCCAAGTCGGGCAAATAGCTAGTACATTGAATGCTAGGGAGAAAGGGAAAATGCCTTTGAATGCACCACCCAAGCAATAGTTTGTTGTGGAGACCAATTCCTCTTCAAAAGGTCACACACTTGAACATGTGAATACGGTGACCACCTTGAGAAGTGGAAGAGTGGTTGACAATCAAATTGGTGTTCCCAATAAAGAGAATGAACCGTGCAACCAAAAGTTGACATCCATCCCTTTTTACATCCTATTCTTCCTTCATTACATGTGAAAGAACCCTTTGTTGAAAAAGATTTGAAAAATGATGGTCCAAAAGTTTTTGAGCCGAAGGCTCCATTTCTAGATGCCTTAAAAGGATCCAATTCTCTTGAAAAACAACAAAGCAAAGCAAATGAGATAATTAATGTGTTTAGGAAAGTTAAAATCAATCTTCCTCTCTCGGATGCAATTAGCCAAATTTTGGCTTATGCCAAATTTTTTAAAGATCTTTGTACCCTTAAGAGGAAGAACAAAAGCCAAGCACCAAAAAGAGTTGTTTTCGCCGAGCAAGTAAGCTCAATTTTGCAACACAACACTCTCCCAAAGTTCAAAGAGCCTGGTTCACCTACTACTTCTTGCATTATTGGTGATCATGTCATTAACCGGGCTCTTCTTAATTTAGGAGCAAGCGTGAACCTTCTTCCATATTCAGTTTATATTCAATTGGGCTTAGGTGACTTAAAACTGACGTCGGTAGTTTTGCAACTAGACGACTGATCCATTAAAAAGGCTCAGGGTATCAATGAGGATGTATTGATCAAAATTGATAAGTTCTTCTTCCTGGTTGATTTCGTGGTCATTGACACAGAACCGGTCCCGAATCTAAAAAGCCAAATTCTCGTTATCCTTGGCGTTTCATGGCAACTGCTAATGCCAACATTAATTGTAGGATAGGGATAATGAAAATTTCATTTGGCCACATGAAGGTGAAGTTGAACATTTTCAATCCAAGCCCTAATTCAATGGACAAGCATGAAGAAGTATGTATTGTTGAAAAATACCTGGAAAATGAATTTGCTAAAAATGAATCTTTGCTTGGTATTGAACAATCAAATGTCTTGTTTTCCAAACAAATTTTAAAAGATGTTGTTTTTAAGTCAAGTGTTAAAAGGGCACGAAAGCCCAAAGATTTTGTTGATCAAGGACTATCAATGTCACTTAAATCAAATCCAACAAGTTCCTTAGGGAATAGTTTGTTGGGTGGGGTTCAAAGTTCTTTGCACCACATTAAGGAAGGGATGCACACAAAGGTTTTTGATCTTGGCTAAAAGAGCCTAATGTCTTGCTAGAGACATTAAACATTAGTGCTTCATAGGGTTTCCAACCATATTTCTTCCTCATTTCTATTTTATTTTATTTTATTTTCTTGCATCGTCTAGATATAATCTGAGATCATACTTGTTGTTTGAGACTTTGATGGGGAATGTATGCACTTTCAGCTCAAAATCAAGCATTTAGTACCCCGTTCGATCAATTACAACAGAGATTCGATCGATTGAACACCATCTCTGCATATTTTCACCTTTCTGTCCCATCGTGCGAGATTCCCTGCATATTTCAGGTCTCTATGTATCGTTCGAACTCATTCTTCGATCGTTCCAAGATTCCTCAATCGATCCAGTTATCCCTTCAATCGATCTCAGTTCTATACTTAGACAAATCTGTCCCATCGTTCGAATACATCTGCAGGTTTTCACATCTTGGATTGATAGAGTTTCGATCGATCTTTTTCCGATCGATTAGAGTCCCTTGAGTTTTTCCTTTTGACTTTGACTTTTCAAAAATTCAAAATTCAATTTTGAAAAAAATAAAAATAAAAATAAAAATAATAATAATAATAATAATAAATAAATAAATAAATAAATAAATAAATATTTTAAAAATTCAAAAAGATTTTAAATTTTCAAAATTCAAAATTTTGCAAAAATATTTTGTCGTTTTGTAGTTTCGATTGATCTGAGTACCTTCATGATCGATCAACTTGGATCGATCACATTTTTTCATGATCGATTGAACTGCACTGTTTTGCATATTGATACTCCCATACCCCTTCTTGTGTCCATGTGTAACAAGGGTCATTTGTCCTACATCGGAATTAGATAGGAAAGTGATTGGGTATAAATGGGTGGGTATGCAGTACTATCCAATAGTTCAAGCTTTTAGGTAAATGGGCAAGCGCCCACCCATTACAGTTGGTATCAGAGCCATACCCAGTCTTTGATCCTGTGTCACGCCAAGCGCCCGACCCAGAAGGCATCCGGGTGAGCAGCCCGGGTAGGCAGGATGGCCCGAGCCGCAAAGAGGGCGTTGTAAGTTTGGGTGGGGGAGAATGTAACAAGGGTCATTTGTCCCACATTAGAATCGGATGAGAAAGTGATTGGGTATAAATGGATGAGTATGTAGTACTACCCAATAGTTCGAGCTTTTGGGTAAATGGGCAAGCGCCTACCCGTTACACCATGCTATTATATTTATGCCTAATGACTGTGTTTTTCACATTGGTTGCATCCATTGACCTTCATGTTTAGCATGTTTCACTTTATTTAATAATTCACTGTCTATACTTGGCTTGCATTACCACTTTCATAGATTGGTTCATGTGTGTTATTCTGAGTTATCTATCTCAATTTGACAAACATGTTTATATCTGTTGTGATTTCATTTTTGTATAGCACATACTATTTCCTATTACTAATTACAATTGCAAGTGTTCTTTCTTTTTGCAGGCCATGCCTAGGTTCAAGACTACGGCTAACTAAACATATGACCGCTGGGTGAGGTAGAGAAGGGAGGAGCCAGAGGAGCCAGCTTCAGCACAGTTTGAACATTCCTCCTCTTCTTCCTCCTCTACTTCTTCATCATCTCAAGAGGGTGAACCCACACCACCTCCTTCACTTGCTCCAGCTTCACCACTAGCACAGCGTCTCACAGTCCGAGATAGGGTCACTCGGAGGTTTTCGTGCCTTTCAGTGGTACACGAGTCCATTTTCGATGAGGACTTCTTTACACAGTCGATCACGACCAAGTGGTCGTATGATGAGATCTACCACCGCCATCTTTCTCCCATCTTCACCCTAGTGGCCAATCCAGTTTACCCGAGGCTTGTTCAGTTGTTCTACCAAAACCTCCGGCCAGCTTCGAGTGACTTGGCCGAGCTACGGACTACCATCGACAGGCATCTTATTCGTATTACTGTCGAGACTTTGGCGACAGTGTAACGACCCGGTCATTTGCCTTCCTTTCCTTTTTCTTGAAATTTTACGAATGAATTTTTTTCGTTTAATTTTCTATTCTAAGCTCTGTTTTGTGTCGCTTAGTGTCATCTCGAGTGCTAGAAATTGGTTTCTGAGACTCTTTCATGTGAATTGACAACTTCCTTTGAGGACCGAGTCATTTTCTCATTTTTCGTTTTTGGACACTATGCGTTATTTCATCATTTTCCCTATTCTGTCTTATCTCCGTTTGTCAGTTTTTGGCACAACCTCACTTCTCATGATCAGAGTTGGTTTTTTACTTCATGTGCCTTCATCTTAAGTGGTTTCCTCGAAATACGTATCTTTACTTTTACAAGAAAGTACTCTAGTTGCTCTCGGTGTCCACGGGGGCATGGATACATAATTCTTTGGAATTAATTTCATTTCTTGGGGTGTTTTTCATAAATATCTTCCGAAGATATTTTATTTCAGGGGCATCTAATAAAATATCTTTTGGAAGATATTTTCATTCTGAAACAGTTTCGCAGTTAACCCTTTTTATAAGGGCCATTGTGCAATTAACGAAAGTTATTACAAAATGTCTCGCCTGGAGCTTGGATCCTCGTACGGGATTCATTTTCACTTTTTGTTGACTTGTAAATTCATAGAATTCCGTTCTGATCGTTTTTCTCTAGTTTCAGAGTTTTTGGACCCGGTTGCCGCCGAACTTGTTCGGGCCATAATTTTCTGCTCGGGACTTAGTTTTCAACGTCGTTTCTTTTTCTATTCATATTTTCTCATTTTGAATCTTTTTTGTTCATAGAGTTTTGCCGTTTAAGCGCACTTGCTCATAATCCACTTTTTCGGACCCGGCGGGGCCCTTTCGGTGCAGTTTTTGAGACTTACTATAAATAGGTTGCCCTAATTTTTAAAATCAGATTTTCAGACCTTCTTCCTCCTCTTGGCTGGCAGCCATGG